ATGATTGGCAAGCATTGCAATCTTGATAGCCATTTTGAACTGTTCAAGTCGAAGCTTGGTCCTAAAATGACAGGGTCCTCGATATCAAAGCTTATGGTTGATATCGTGGTGCCATTTGCGTCCCCTATCCAACCTTTGGATGTGAGGAAAGCGGCACTCGACTCGGTCGGCCTGGTGTGTCAGTCTTCTCCAAGGAACTACGTGGCCGCCAACGTCTACACAACATTCCAGCAAGTCTTTGACGAACAGAATCCGGTACTGGAATCCATGGTCTTGCGTTCTTTCAAGGGGTTCCTCTTTACGGAGGAGAAGAGATCCGAACAGGCCCCAGCAACTGCGGCTGACGATGGCAAAGGCAAGAAGAAACGCGAGCTGACTGTGATCGGAGGCACAACCTATGATGATGTGGCCAGTGCGACGACTCACCGATTCCTCAAGGAAATCATCCGTATCGCCACCGCGACTCAGGACGAGCATGCTTTCTTGGCAGTTGAGGTCCTTGCCAGCATTAACCGTCAAGGTCTGGTTCATCCCAAGGAAACGGGCGTGACGTTTATCACTCTAGAGACTTCGTCTAATCCCCGTATCTCTGAGCTCGCCTTTCTGGAGCACAAGTCACTTCATGGAAAGCATGAAACTGTTGTTGAACGCGAATACGTCAAGGCGATACAGTCGGCATTCGCGTATCAGCGCGATATTGTCAAAGATCCGCGTGGCGCAACAGTCAATCCATTCACCCCTAAGCTTCATCTCATGATGGAGGTACTGAAGATCAGCAAGTCCAAGAATCGTCAGAAGTTTCTGGAGAAGCTCTGCACCCAGGTGGACTTTGATGTGTCGAAACTCGAACTGACAGGTGAGGAGATCCCTCCTCACGTTCAGTATGCCCGATTCATCATCGAGAACATGGCCTTCTTCGAGTACATGACGGTGGGCGAGCTCCAGTCTACTGTTTACACGATGGAGAAGCTAGTTACATCAACGGGGTCAACCATCGCTCAGATCATTGAGTCGGAGGTTTTCCAGGTCCGCATGGACGCTATCGACGGTCCCGCGCCTGAGCCCGAGCCGACACCAGCACCTGCGCCTACACTAGGAGAGCAGCCCGATGAACAGCCGATGGTGCCTGTTCAGCCTGCCCAACCAACATTGGCTGATATTGACATTCAGCGCCTTCGCCAGTTGACAGCAGGGTCCATGATCCTTCTCGCCGTTTGGGAAGTCCGCACCTACCTCCGTCGTCTTTACAACATGGGCACCAACCGTCGCGAGCAGAAGGCCAAGATCCAGGGCAAAGACCTATCTCGTCCACCGACCAAAGTCCAGGGCGTCGTCGGCGACAAGGTTTGGGAGGAACTAGGGACTATCATGACCGGTCTCGTATCCCGTGAGCGCATGAGGCAGACGTGCAAGGCGTTCGTGGAGCTCATGAATGTTGACAAGGAGTTCCTTGTTCAGGATGAAGACGAGGACGAGGACATGATGGACGCCGGGACACCGTCGAGCGGGGGCGAAGAGGATGACTACGATGAGGCAGGTCCAGGCACTGGTCCCGGAAGAGGTAGAAAGAGGAAAGCAAGCGCCTCAGGTCCTAACGGGTCACCCGCTCTGAAGAGGAGAGGAAGGCCACCAAGAAGCAATTCCAAGGGACCGCAAGGGCCGCTGAAGAAACGCGGCCGACCTAGAAAGAATCCGTTGACCGAGGCGAGCCAACAGCATGACGATATGGAGGCGGGTTGGATCTGATTTTCATAGTCTGGGTTCATTCTTGTGATCTACATTGCTTTGTGGGACTGGTGTCCCAAGGCACGGATGGAGGGGTGCATTGCGTCCTGAACATAGATACCAGGTTGGCGAAGTCACTTGCTAAGTGGTAAAGGTTGCTGGCGCTTGCCGTGATTTGCTTTTGGAGAGATAAAATGTCAGGGATCATCTCAATCATCGGAGGCTAGCAAAATGGAATGGTCATGACAGGGAAGGAAGTAAATGGCGTAACGGAAAAGATGAATGAATGATCTGAGACCAGAGCAGGCAGTCATTAGTGGGCATCAATGAAAATTAATTGCATCATATTCATTACAAAGCTCTTTCTATGTATGCTTTTTTTTTGGTATTTGAGATGGGATCGACATTCTACGTCCATGGTATCTGCTCAAGGACAGACAAGTAGGACGATTAAGCTCTTAGAGAATCCAAACCTTCTAACTTGGCTTGAATCTGGATGATATGTCTTCGGGAGAATTTGGAAGTGCAGTGAAGCAAACTGCCCAGTTCGTAATGAACCTCTTTGAAACACTCACTCACTATACACCCTATCTCCATGGCTTCTATGTGGTCTTTTGCCTCCTCTGGGTATCTCCTTTCCTTTGGCAGGAGGAAGTATATGGGTTTGGTCACTTGCTTGTTTCAGGTTCGTTCAACTATCCGATTCCGCGTGGTAAGTCTGACTATCAGAATATCGCTCCCGTTAGACCGAGGGGTACGGCATCTCCTGGCAAGAGCGAAAGACAATGGTTCGATTCCTGGATGGTCGCTTCCTGATTCTACCTTTCCCCTTTTTTTTGTAATTTTACTTCATGGAAGCTACGCTACACTGTTCTTTTGGGCAGCTGCGCACTCACTTCTTGCCTTGTATTTGTATTTCAGTTAGGTAGAGGTAGACACCAAAGTTCGAGTTCGTGACTCTCATGAGACACTTTTTGTATCTCTTCCGCGTGTCTTGAGTACTAAGTACGGCGGGCGGATGTGGAGATATATATCTCAGATATTCAAAAAGTCGACGATTCCATGGGGTTAGCCCTTGTTGAGCCAAGCCTCCTTCCCTTCGTTGTTAGTCACCACCACGCACTCAAGTCATCTTCCAGTCATCAGTCGTCAGTCGTCAATCATCAGTTGTCATCGTCAACCACATAAGGTAGGTAAGCCAGACGAACATGGCTCAATATCCACCACCATAACTTAGTGATGTGTTCTAGGACATAATCCCCCTTACCTCCTCTCCTTTTCCTATCTTGTTCAACACATTTTGCAGTTTTGCTCAATGGACGCGTATAGGTACATGTATACATGTCTCTCTTCTCCGACGCCTTTCTTCTTTGATGAAAATACCCTGGTACCTAAGAAAACTTCGAAGAGAGTGGAGTTGTCTACACCATTCAGCTTCAGCGTCTTACGAGTTCTGTAATGCTTAGTATCTACCTCTGACTGAGAACTGAGAGGTGAGAGTCTGCTTTTTGAAAATCCGTTGAGATGGACTGTTGAGGCAACGGGTCAGGCTTTATTGTATGTAGGCTTATAAGCTTGTAAAGTACTTAGGTCCATGTGTGGTAGTGGATAGGCAATGTAATGTAGGTCTGAAAGGAGTGTCGTTATTTAGACGGTCTCGAGACAATGAAGTGGCTTTTCAGCGACAGTTGAACGGGCAATCGGATTACAGCATAGGTTTTAAAAAGACATATAAACGAAGTTGAAGATATGTTGAAGATATGTTGAAGATATGTTGGAAAAAGATAGACAAAGTATCGGAACAGTGCATACTAAACAGATATTAACAAGACAGTGAAAAGACATTGAGAAAGGTACTTTTACACCAGTATCCCGAGCAAAACGTCAGACATTGCAAGTACATTGATGATCAGATATTGAAAAACTTTGTCGTTGGGGAAAAGATACATCCATCCATCCATACGCGTATCCCGAGCACACTGTTGAGAATGATAGGCAGATCAAGCATGGAGTATGTTGGGTGTTGGGATATAGTCTATCTCCACATAGCCCTACCTCAACGGTTGACGACTGATGACTTGTGAGTGATAATGCCTCGGCTCCTTTGACGTTTCATGATGCTTCTTGTAAGTCCGACAGTCCCGTCGTATAAGCTTGGCCGGGTGGAAACAGCCTTTGACACACGAGCACGAAACACTCTGCAAGGTCTGAAGGAAGCATCGAAAATACTTTGTGAAACTGAAAGGAAACCACCATCATCTATTGAGCAAGGTGACCTGCACTCTAGGGTTGACATTTCCATATGATAGAAGAACGGATGTGTGTGACGTTCAGGGGGTTACCTTGATACATCCACGTGGTGTGGGACCAAGTCATTTCTCCTCCATGACTTCATCACCGGATATTCCATAGAAGGACTCATCGCCACTATTTTATTAGCAATAATATTTACATGATACACCTCTGCCGGGGTAAAAAAAGGTTAATTCTGTACTTCTAGTGTACAGAAAACCAGGATTCGTCACCGGATCACGCCTGGCTATTTTGTAGAGCGCTGCCTATTGCCACCGATCCGCACTAATGGCGAATTCACAAGATTTAACCTTTTTTTCCCCCGGCAGAGGTGTAGAAAGAGCATATGGAAGAATGACATCCTCAGCTGCCCCGCTCATGGAAAGGGGCGTAATCGAACTCCTGAGTTGAGTCCCACCGCAATTAAGCGATCTTGTGGATTCTCAACCTTGCCGTATGGAGTTGTGAATATCGGTTCAGCGGATATGGATCACAAATGGAGGCGTTCGTCATTGAAGCACTGACTCTAAGAACCAACTTTTGTATATGATATGGATATTTTCAATGTCTAGCATAACGATTGTATGATGCTATTGCCAAATAAGAATAGCCAGCCCACACAAAATCGCAATCTAAACTGTTGGTATCTCCGTCACCTATAAACCCTAAAGTATCCGCCTTTTCAACCCATACCATGTTGTCATCATACGCGTCCAAAAAGCATGCTTTTTTCCATGCAGACCAAAATCCCAAATCTCCCCAAAACGCCGTGAAGACCGAAGTCAGGAAGTGTATGTACAGCGACAGAAACGTAGGTGCAGATGTTCATCACAATTCCGTCTTGCTTTACAATCACTGTACAAACCCGTGGCCTTGCGCGCTATCTACGGCTAGAACCACGGCTTCCCATGCAATTTTTCATCCCCTTGAAGCCCTCCATGAAGAGAAGACTCCGTGAAACCTCATCATTCTTCTAACTCCACTCATGCCGCATCAGCGGTGGTAACTGGCGGAGTAACGCGAGTAGGCTGAAGGCCAGCTCTAACGATCTTCTTGCCGGAAGAGTCGGTAACAGTGGCGATGTCCTTGTTCTCGGCCTGAGCACGCTTCCAGATCTCAACCTCGCAGCCGCCGCGGATGACACCGACGCGCATGGTAGAGAGAAGGTTGTGGGCAGCGTTGGAGTGGTTGTAGACACCACCGTTGAAGATAGCGGTAGCGTCCTTGCCAATAGCGGAGTTGATGAGAGCCTTGCCACCGGGGTGGTCCTTAATGAACTTGCCGACATCGTGGATGACACCAGCGACAGCGATCCAGGCCTTGCCGTTCTTGGACTCCTGGACGAAGTCGTCCCAGCTGACAACGGGGAGGTTCTCGAGGGGAATGCCCCAGTCAAGGGTGGCACGCTTCTGGTCGAGCTTCTTCTGCTGCTGCTGGAGACGGCCCTTCTCAATCTCGTTGTGGGGGAACTTCTTGAGGTCGTAGGCGAGACCGAGCTGCTTCCAGGCCCAGATGCACCACTTGGTGGGGTCATACTGCCACCACTGTATAGCGTTACGGAAATCGCTGGGGAACTCGTGGTGGAAGTTGTGGTAACCCTCACCAAGGGTGACGAGGGCAGTGATGACGTGATCTCTCGGTGAGTTGCGGTCGTCAAAGGGCTGGTCGCCGAGCCAGTGGGCAAGAGAGTTGACGCAGAAGGTAGCCTGCTGGATAAAGAAGATACGGAGGATACCGCCGTAGATGAAGCCACCAGCAAAGTCACCCCAGCCGAAACCGCAAATAAGGGTAGGGACAATAAGAGCCATGGTGATGACGCACTTGATGTAGTGCTTGTGCTGGAAGACGACGACGGGATCCTCGTTGAGATCAGTGATGTCGGTACGGCCGATTCTCTTGGGGTTCTGCTTCATGACCATCCAGCCGATGTGGGAGTAGAGGAGACCCTTGCGGACCGAGTAGGGATCCTTGTCGGTATCGGTGTATCTGTGGTGAGCACGATGATCCCTGGACCACCAGCGGGCGGAACCCTCAACGGCAGCAGCACCACCAGCGGCGAGCCAGATCTTGAGGGGAAGGGTGGCCTTGTAAGAGGTGTGAGCCCAAAGTCTGTGGTAACCGGCAGCTGGAAAGAAGAGCGAGTTAGCCATTGACCCAATTCTGATATCCTTGAACGCAGATGATGCTTACTGATACCGAGACCGGCGAAGTAGTAGTAGGCGATGGAGAAGATAAGGGTCTTGGTCTGGAGAGTGACCCAGTAGGCGGAGATGAGACCGGCGAGGGGCACGAAGATGATGAAGGTGGTGTTCAGCCAGTTGACGTGCTTGTCTGTGAGGGAGATATTGTCAGCATATTGTTGTCGTTTTCCCTTAAGAGAAAAACATGTACTTACACCAGTTACCCCAGGTGATGGGCATCTCGGTAATGTGAGGCTTCTTGAGATCGTACTTCTTGCCTCTGAGAGGGATGAAGTCGGTGGTGCCATCGGGGACGTTCACAGCCTGAACCTCAGGAGGGACATCCGTGGCCGAAGTCGACGCCATGGTGTCGGTGTTGTTGTCGAGTGATAAAGTTCGACGACAAACTGAATGGGTTGTGGTGTTGAAAAGGTGTGGCCCGTTCTGTCGTTGCTGAAGACAACGAAGTTGGGTAAGAGTCGGGAGGGAGATGACCTAGGTCAAAGTGGGCTGGAGGAAAGGGAAGGGAAAAGGTGAGAGTCGGGGCAGAAGTTATAAAAGAATGAGGGAAGCAGGTGGGAAGCTTGGCCCAAGGGTTCTCAGATCAAAGCTTTGCCTGTGAAGTGGGTTCCCGGTTCGGAGGAGAGAGGGAGTTTCGTTGGTAAGGTACTTGCAGATTGGAGTCCACCCACTCACTCCTGCTTGCTTTCAGTGCTGTACACGTACTTTGTAGTGCGTGAATGCCCTGCTAGCCTGATCTTTCCCATTCAACAAAGCGGATACTGCAGGGTAGTGTTTAGGTGGGCAGATATTTATTTAGGTTCATGGTACCCCCAAAGGGAAGGTTCGGCGGACTGTGACGACTCCCTCCCGTCTGGGCCTTCAAACTTTTTCGCCTCCCGTTCGTCCTAGGGCAAATCACAAGCAAATTTCGAGACGCCAGACCTCAAACAGGCCAGACCCCGGCGAAGGCAGTGGAAACTGGTTGGGGTTTTCAGATGGGTGGTGGGTGGTCGTGGGCCGAGAAGTCGATCCAAAAACAGCAAGAGGAGTGGATTTGGCTTCACGACTTTGTTCACATCTCACTGTCTGGCATTGTCTCACAGCGGATTGGCCTCGGCTTTCACAAGGCATGTGCTTCTCACCAAGTGCTCTTGGGGCTTCGTTTGGGCGTGTTTTGGCCCATATTGGCGCTCTGTTGGCACTCGGGCGGGCGAGCCAGGCGTTGATCGTTCATCTGGTTCGGCGACATGGTCCTGAATTTGCCGTTGATAAGTTTTGTTGAGCAGAATGTTGGGGACATGGTTCCGTCCGTGCATTCAGGTCCCATCCAGGGCATGTGGGGGCCGTATAAGTCGGGAACAAATTGCGATTGGCCGAATACACTCGTTTTGGGAAAGTATGGCCAATGTACCCTGTACATGGTGGCGGCATGCCGCTCTTCCCTGCTTGCCGCCTGTTTGTCGCCCACCGTTCACGGTCCCACACTTGCTTTTGGTACATGTGACATTGACAGCCATCAACCTGTGACTGCGAATTCCAACTTCATTCACAGTTCACATAACCCTTTCCCTTTTTCGCCAAAAAAGGTGTGGCAAGGTGAGGTCACCGACGACCACTAACCCTCCATCATATGGACTAGCTTTCTCCAGATGCCTCGGATCATCGACTTCAACAGAGCTTTTGGAATCGAACGACGAACCCGGCCTGTCCCGACTGACTCAACACTCAAGTCTCAAAACTTGACAATGGAACATGCGGATGGCTGACGTGCGCCTCGGTTGTCTCGGACAGGGCGTTCAATGCACTTGACACTTCAACAACTTGTCAGGCTGCTGCGACTCGATACGAAGCCTCAAGGCTAACAAGGAAGTCGGGAAGAAGGAATATCGGTATGATAAGGCAAGATAACAACTGAAGCAGGACAGCTTGACCACTCACGACCGGTTCGAAACCGCGGGCGTGAACTGCGCCTTCCCCGGATTTGCAACTAATCTTGCAGGTTATGGAGCCAGCATGGAACGATCAGTTCGCGCCTTCATCCGCCTTGTCCCTCTTTCCTTCGTTCATCATCCATCCTGGTGTGAACTGTCGACACACACCCCGATTGTGGCCATCAATTTTGAGGTTGACGGTTCATCCCATCCAGAATGAATTCACGCTTTGACATCACCTTCTCTCGGGTTCAGGATTGGCCGGTTGCGTAGCACCAACCAGGGGTAGCAATCACAAAGCTTGCCCGATGCAACCATGCCCTTTCAACTGTAAGGCTCCGATTTCCCAACATTCCTTCCCGCACGGCGCCCAGACGCTATCTCCGCATCCCGGCAGCCAATCAAGTGGCTGGCTTATTCGCATTCTGGCCAGCGAGGTTTTCAACGCCTGCTTATGTAAGGTTTCAACGATGGCGATGGTCTCTGCGTAGGCCAAGAACAGGAGGCTTCCAGAAACGCTGAGATGCCAATCGTGCATGAACGACAGCGGCAATCCCATAACGCCACACCCGTTTTGCAATTTATCTGATCAAACTCCATTGTTCGAGGCCGTCCGCCATTCTTCTGTCTTCAGATTGCGGTCCCCCGTGGGGGGGCGACACACCGTGGGGAGTTGCGTTGAAAATGGAGCTACGACGGGGTCGGAGGCGGAGATAAGCGGCATCGGGAGCATCATTCAAGTTTTGGTGGGGTTCGGGTGTCAACTCCAGACCCGATCCAGCCTACGAACTCCTCCTCCACGCTTTCACATCCGTCTGGCAGCGAGCCTTGTTCACCTCGTCCACCTCCGTCTTTCTCCGAATCAATGTTTGAAGCCTGAACCGTCCGAGCCACATCGAGATCTTGAAAGGAAAGAAAAGTGAAAGAGGATAAAAACCACCTTGCTCTACCTCACCTTCAACCACCGATACAGACACACCGGCAGCAAAGCAAGAAGCATATCGTACGAGGGGGCCGGAGTCGAAAGATTAGCTCCATGCAAGCGAGACCCTGCTCGGTACCTACCTCCGCTGTGACAACGTCAGTGTCGTCGGCCCTACCCGCCATCAAGGGGGCCATCAAAAGCATGAAATGTGGTTTAGCTTTGCGGGAACGTGTGTGCCAAGAGAGGTAGAAGTGATCAGGCCATCCAGACCAAGCGGCTGAGAAGCTCAGGCCATGTTATTCGTTTCGTTGGGGACCGTCGCTTAATCGTACGTTTGGCTTTTTCTCTTCCATCACTCTTTGGTTTAGTACGGATTCGGGCGAGGGGAGGAAACATCGAAAGATGAAGCTATGAAGACCACCTCAGTGACGCTATATCCCCTTCTCCGTAATGGGCGCTGCCCATACAATTTCCTATGTTAAACACAGCCGTACCTCTACATCATAACTCTCATTCACGTACACAACCACACACTGCCCTTGCGCGAGGTGGATGACATGCTGAGGAATCGTCATCGAGTACCTTGCTTGTTCATGGGCACGCCGGCTCTGAGAGTTCGACATTATCATCATGCCGCCCCTTTCCACCCGATGAGTGCCGGATCTTGATAACACTGAACCAGCTCAACAGGCGAGTGCTTTCCTTCCATCCACATCCACCCAGTCCTCGTTTCTCTGGACAGCCGACCGACGCTCGGTCATATCGCCTCGATACTGCTCGAAGTTAGAAGTATGCCTATGGTAGTGCTTTAGTGTCATACCTCAGGCTGCAGTTCTTTCCTAATGAGGTCAGTTCTGAGGAGGCGACGTCACATTCCTAAAAAGTCACGTCGATCTTTGAGCCTCGGTGATGGAAGAACTCCCGTTCAATGATGATGATTCAAGCTAGTGGCTGAAAGGACGAGGTGGTTGTAAAAACAATAAACTGAACACGGACAGAGTCCGATGCAGCTCGCCATGGTTGGGAAAGACCGTTACAAAGCGCTGATAGGGATCGCAAAAAGAAGGAAACCACATCGGCTTGAGTCCCTTAGGAACTCCCTACTTCACAGCAACTACTTAAGCTCAGCTTCACAAAGGCATAGAAAGAACGCTTGATTGTGTGTATCAAGGTCGTATACCGAAGGTGTGTTGTAATGACCCTGACGTCTCGGTTTACTCTTACGACCCCCGCTCGGGAACCTGGGAACGTACTTCCTTGGATGAGAGGTGACAACCAACGACGATCCAAACATCGAAGAAAACAGTGAATTGATGTCGATAACCCCCCAACCGAGTTCTCAGCCAGAAACTGACTGCTATGCGAGGAGACGAGGATCGCCACCACTTCATTCTCGGGTGGGACAGGTAGTTGGGTTGTGAGGAGTTCTTCCTGAAGGTGCCTACACACCAGTCCGATGCTCTCATCACATGTCAGGCTTCATCGGCATACTAGTGTAGGCAACAAACAGCCATAAGCCTATGACGTCGACAGATAGAGGACACTGAGCTCGATCATTACTTTTCAGTCCTTAATCGAAAATACCACACTAAGGATTGCAGATGCTTGCCTATCCATCACTGTTCTTCGCCCTAGGCAAATTCAATCACTCGCTCGATCGGTCCGAAGTATTATTCACACTCTTCTTGAGATATTTTGACTGTCCGCAGAGTCAACAGGAATGGAAGGTCGTCATTGAGAGAGATTGGATTCCTTTCTTCCTCGTCTAGTCTATCAGGGGCATGTTTAAAGTACATAGTTTTTAGCCACCAGTTCGAAATCAAAGTCTGCCAAAAGAGAACGTCGGGACGGGATGCAAGTCTAGTTCGATGCCCCTCATCAATGGCCATCTTTCTTGACCCTGTGACATCGATACAGAGAAAGAGATACTAGCTATGGATGTTCAGCACATACGCCACAACCAATGTTATGATGAGCTGTGCAAAGGAGTTTGCGGTAAGTTTACAAGTTAGGTAGGGAAGGTTAAGCTCTCCCCATGTCAGAAAACTCACCACCTGTCCACCATGGACAATGAGAACAATAAGTAACTACCCCTAGCGTTGTGCGTAGTATATAGGTAAACTCACAAAACTCGTCAAACTCATCCTCGAGATGGATCGGCCAAAAGGTTCCAACGTATTCTGACTCTAAAAAGAAAAAAACCTTAAGCATTGTAATTCAAACTGCTCAGTTCTCATATGTAGATTCGTAGGTAGACAGGTACATGGAGACCGTGGAATCCAGGACACACTCATTCGGGCTGCTTTATGTTAATGACATCGCTTGCTAGGTAGTCGGTCGAAGCCCCACAACTTTGCTTTAATCAGGTAGAGGTACCGATAACAGGTTCCTTCGTGGGTTTCTAGGTCCAAGATATGAGTGCTTCAATTTTTAGATAGGGCCGCCTTTAGTCGAACCTCCGAGGCAGTTTGGATAGCTGGTGGGTAAGCTTGGAATTTTCGAGCATGACCGACTGTATGACTGCATGGCTGCGTGATGCTAGGTATGGTAGATGGTCATTGGAGATACACAAACGGCCTCGGCTTGACGCGTTGGATCCCGATGGCGATCATATAGAGTGTTTGATACAGATGGATGTGGCCGTGTAGCGGTGTTCAAGTTGCTGTCTTAGGTCGAGTGTCCATTTGAGGTTGTGATTACTGATTGATGACGAAGCATCGCGGAGACCGTCGCTTGCGCCAGTACAAGCATCCTCCTGTTTACATCAATACCAAGCGAGTGCCCAGTTCGTGTTAAAAAAACAAAAAAAAACAAAAAAAAAAACACCCTCTCTCTTATTTACACATCACTCGCAGCACTCAGCTCAGCTCGTAAATTGGCAGATTCATTCAGCTCACTCACTGACTGTTATCCGTCAAGCACTCTACCTAGGTAGACTCATTCAAGCAAGGCAGTTATATTGGCTGCATTGCCCGGGCATCTTCTAAGGGCAAGATAGGTAACAAACGACTAAATGATAACATAACCAAACCCCAAGCCAACAAGCGAGTGTATGGGGTTACTTATGTAAACACCGAAAAGAGAAGAGATAAAAAAGCAGAATGCCACCCGAAAAGATACAAATAGGGAACTGAACCAAAGAAAAAGGAAAGAGAAAAGAGCCCAAAGAAAAAAAGGAATCATTGTCCGTTTATGTCCTATGCAATAACACCCCCTATCCCAGATATCATAATGTGAGTACCAGTTGTACTTATACCTGCCCTTGAATGCTTGCTCATTTAACACAAAGTGTCTTGGTGTGTGTGTGTGTGTGTGTGTTGTGTATTGGAGGCCTCCCAAATCTGGCAACAGTTCCGTTGCTGAGGGTTCAAGCAGAGCAGAGCAGAGCAGAGCAGAGCAGAGCAGAGCAGAGCAGAGCAGAGCAGAGCAGAGCAGAGCAGAGCAGAGCAGCTCATGCTGTGAAAAGACGGTTTATCTCGCAGGTCCAACCAAGTGGGAAGACTTAATTCTGCCCATCTATATCGGCTTTCCATGTGTTTTTGTCGATTTTTTAGCTGGCTGTTGTTGTGTCGATTCGTCTAGCCGTTCGTCGTAGTCTCTTTCAGGTCCTCGTCATTTCGTAGTTGCTGTGGTGTTGATGTTGAGGTTGATGCTGATGCTCATGCTGATGTTGCCGTTGACCGGCAAACAAATCCATATCAATCTCATCCTCCCCCTCTTCCTCATAATGTTTCCCCTTCTCCCTGGAAGGTAAATCATAACCTCCCGAAGCCCCGCCCCCAATCCCCTTCAAAACATCCAACTCCTTCCCACTCCCATACCGTTCGTATTCCCTCTCCCGGTCCCTTTCCAGTTGCGAGTTGCCGTTACCGTTGCTATTCCGATCCCCACGGTTTGTATACCCAGACTCTCGATCCCGGCCCTTATGACTATGATCTTGGTGCTGCCCATGCCCGTGATCATAATCATGATACCGCCCAGTCATCATCGCATCCGCGGCCTCCATCCTAAACTGCTGCTCCAGCCTATCTCTATCTCTCGCCTCGTTGATAGCTGCGTAGGCTAGATCTGGCCCGGGCCCGGATCCTGGTTTTAGGCTGGTGGGTTCGGTGAAGTATTTACCTGAGTCGGCGCGAGAAAGCGGTTTTTCTCTTCTGCTGTCGTTGCCGTCTTCTTCCTCGGCGTCGGAGTTGGAATTGTCGTAGTGGTTATGGGCGCGGCTGGAGCGGGTTTGGTTATGGTGGGATTGGGTGGTGTTGAAATGCGGTTCTGCTGCTGCGGCTCTGGGACTGTTGCTGCTGGGACCTTTCGTATCGTATTGTTCGCGGAGTGTAAGGTCGTGGGATTTGATGTTGTTGGCTGTGGCCCCCGTGGGAGCGCTGGAGGGGGCGGTTTTGGGTCGCCATTTGAGGGCTTCGCGGAGGATGGAGTCGTTGAGGGACGTAGAGGCGGCGTCGGTGTCGCCCGAGGGGGCGGTGGAGATGAAGGAGGTGGAGGAGATTCTGGGGTCCTGTTGCTGGGCAGATTTCCTTGATGGTTCTCCTGCTTCGTTTTGATTCTCAATATCGCTTACGTCGGATTCCGTGTAGTTGCTAGCTTGCCTACCGCCATACGACGAAGGAACGGTCAGGTTACTTGGCTCCTGGTAAGTACTGCTGTTTCCCCAAGGACGCAAGTGATGTCGGAATCTCGCCGGGTCGTCATACCCGCCATCACTCGGGAGAGGAGAAGGCGGCGATCTACCCCGTGGCGGATACCAGTGCTGGTCTTCTGAAGGTGCAGGAGAAATCGCATCCTGACGACCCCTCCCGATACCACTTGCAGCACCACCAGCATTGCTGCTGAAATAATCCCACCCGCGATCCGACGGCGACTCAACCGTTTTGATAATCTTCGGTACCCCGTTCGTCGGCTCCGTGCCAACTAGATACTCCTGGCGCGAGTACCCATCATCAACCGACACCGACTCCGGGTTATGGTAGCTATACTGGCTTTGCTCGACTGGCTCTGGCTCGGGGAACATATCCAGCAAGTCCAGTGCCTGTCTCCGCTTGCGGGGGTTGGGATCTAGACAGATATTCACGATCTCGACGTACCAATCTGGCACATCCGTCACTTCGGGCCCAATCCTCAACGGCCGGGCGTGAGCCTCAGGCTCATCTTCCTGTGTCGCTAAAGCCCAGAGCACCATACCCAGCTGGTACAGATCGGACTTGACGCCAATGTACATGGATATCCGCTGACTACTCTCGATCAGCGGCGTTGCCTCAGGTGGCTCCCAACCCACCGGACAGCCGCGGCGGTTGATGTCGATGATCTTTGCATTCCACTCATTGTTGATGACAATATTGGACAGCGTAAAGTCTCCCTGCACAAACCCGGCCTCATGTATATCCGCCAGACCGCTAACTATCTGGCGCGCCCAGCGCTCGCGTGTAGACCAGGGAAGGCCGCCCTGGAGCTGGTAGTCGTAAATGATATCTATCAGGGCACCGTGCTCAGCAAAACTGATCAGCAGACCCTTGACGTGCTCGCCCGAGTCGTCGACGATGACGCCGTAGAACTCGATGACGTTCTCGGCGGCGCGCAAGCGGTTGAGCGCGTTGATCTCGTAGAGAAACTCGTCGACGGTGTCGGGGCCGGGAATTTCTTTCTTGATCAGGGTCTCGTCGTTGACACGGACTTTGTAGACAAAGCCGGAAAGGTGGGAGTCGAATTCGACTTCGGATTCTTTGATGCGCGGGCAGCGCATGTGATGGATCATGCGCACGGTTGGGTAGCTGATGATTTCCTGGGGAAAGGGGGGGTTGGTGTTAGTATGTTGAGGTGGTGCGTACCGGATGAGGTAGCAGAACTTACATTGACGTCTTCCACCACGTGGACATGTAACCTCCCATCCGTGGTTTGTAGCTTCAGGTTCGTGACGGTAGGGTAGAACTGTATGTCCCCCAGACTGTCTCGAATCGCCTCGTATATCCTCGAACTCTTGTCACGCTGGAACTTGATATCGACCAGCTCCTCCTCCAATGAATTTTCCTGAGCATCACGGTAGTCTAGTGACACCGTCACCCTGCGCCATAGCGAGTCGTTCTGTCGATATGTCACGAAGAACTTTTCTCTCTTGGACTTGTCGCGAAAGTGCATCGACAGGTTCAGAATCCATATCTTCTCCAGCTCGTCGTGTATCATGTTGTGGTACTGGGAGGATGTTATCGAGTGCGCATCGCAGTCTGAAACGGCAGCATCTGACCCATGAACATGAGTAGAACCAGGAGCTCGCAACAGGCCGTGATGGTCGTGGTAGTTCTTGTCGAGTTCTTGCTCTAGCTCATGTCCGTTCAAGCCTCGGGTGCTGGCATGTTCTTGAGGGATCGCCGGTAACGAAGGAATGGAGGACTCAGCCTGGGAGATATGTGAAGAGCGGCCGAAGTGGTGGTGATGATGGAAGTTTGGCGCGCTGCTCCTGGGAAGTGAGGCAGCGGCGGCTCCTACACCCAATCCAACCAGCGATGTCGATGCACTGTTTGTCGCATGCATGCGTCTATCGACTGAAGCAGCTCTGCGTTCGGCAGGGGTAGGTTGTACAGGTTGGAGATGGTCGCGCTGTTCGGATTGCTGTCTCTTGAATGTCTGAGCTCGAGGTAGGCCGGGAACCACCTTTCGAAAGTTTCGGCGAATGGAGCCTTGTTTGTTTGAGCCTCCGTCATCGTGCTGCTGCTGTTGTGTTTGTGAACCCGGACTCGTGGTAATGTTTCCCTCTCCTCCATGTCCATGTCCATGTCCATGTCCATGTCCTCCTATACCCGATCCCGGTTCCGTTGTTGCTGTTCCTGCTGATCCCAATCCTGATCCCGACCCGGTATCATGGGCACCTTGACCGTCACCACTACCACCACCTTCCTTATGATCCCGCCAGAGATGCATTTTTTGCCACCAGTTATTATGGTGTGGGGGCCAATCGCCATCTGCAGGTAAAATCGATGCTGGGTTCCGTAGAGCTAGGGGAAGTTGCGGCTGCACTTGAGCCATAAAGACCTTTGGGGGTTAAGAGGGTTGAAAGTTTACTCAGGGAACGGTAAGAGAGGACTAAGCACAACTATATGGTCAGCACTCGTGAGTCAAGAGAAACTTCAGAAACTTCAGAAACCGCCAGGCACCTTGTGCAACCCTGAGATTACGTGGTGGCGAGAAACAGCTTCTGGCCTGGCGCATAACCAGCCTCAATCTCCTCCAACCTCCTTTAACGGTCTATCGGCTAGACCTTCTCGGGCCAAAGCCCAAGACCTTAGGGAGCCCAGAAGGAAGTTGTATCACCAACTAACCCAGGGGTAATGAGTTGGAAGACACAAGTAAGCAAGATGGCGCAACCTTACATTAGAGACAAGCAATCATGCAGACTGCCGGCGCAAAGACCATTAGGCGCCGTATATCCAACAGCAATGACAGCGCTTGGTGAAGTGGTGGTCGATGTTCAAAGACGCCATACAAAGAAACCCAGTTGAAACCAACAGGTGCGTTTATGTTCTTGCTTTTCTTTCTCAGTTGTCGAGGGGGAAAGTCTTGTGGTTGGTGATAGATCCCCGCCTCTCCTCCCCAGTTAAGCTGATTAGTCCAGGGCTGTGTCGAAAGGTGTTGCGGGTCGGATAGCTACTTTGCTGTGTGTTTGCGGTTGTGAATCGGGACACGAGGTTGCCTTGAAGATAACGTGAGCTCGCGAGGTGTTGTAGGGGTTGTGTCTGTTACCGAGTTAACCGTGATGAATGTTGATAGACGCCGTGCTTCGTGTGTGCCTCTTTCACGTTCACATATATAAGATGGGGATATTTGACAAGGTATAGAGGTATAAAAGGTGGGATATAAGATTTTGTGATCTGGGAAAGCATGGAACTTCCAAGGATTTGTTCTGCGGGGGTGTGGAGGATATGGAGTGAATGATGCCTTTTGAAGCTCCTCTTCTAACCTTTTCAGCTTTCATCATGAGACCCTCCATCAGATCGTCCCAACCGCTGAGACTTGGTTTTAGTTGCAACCCTCAAGGTGCCTGGCCTGACTGATTATCGGATCTTGCCATTGGCCATTATTGGGGGCTCTTTGGACAGCAATCGTGATGTGGTAAAACGGCCGTTACAACAAATAGACGCCAGTAATAACCAACCTACAGCCACCTGAGGCTGCCTGAGATGGATCCCTCCCTAGGCTTCTTTTACCCCTGGCCGGCTGTCTTGGCCCTGCCCCGGAGTGCCTGAGTGCCTGGTCCGGGGGGCCGTTTTTTGAGGCCAACCTCAGGTCCCGCGTTTCTCCTACCGTCCCCAGGAACCGCCTTGCCAAAGGGCACATACACATTATGCACACTTCGAAGGCGTACATGGCATCTTCTGGTTCTCGTTTGCCCTCCTACCATCCTTCCTCCGAGTCTGGTCTCGTGTCCTGAGGCCTTCCTTTCGGGATTCTTGCAGACTGCTGAAAGCTCAGGACTGGAAAAAGGAAGGGTGGCAGTGGGATGAAGGAGGCTGTGTCTCTCAAAGACGCACGGGGGCTGGGTGCATTTCCCAGTGGAGTTTAAGACCGTGACGTGTAACCAAGGGTAAAAGCATGGGCAGCCAGTGAGAGGCCGGCGCATGCCTGGAACACTTCCAATTAACACATGCATGCCATCCATCTCATGGGCTCCGTGCCAGGCATTGGGTGTGTTGGATGCCATGCCATCTGCGTGGGTCTTCTTTTCCCTAGCATGTTCGGCGGGTAGCTTTCGTTGCCAGACAGAGGAGAGGGGAGACAGGTTGCAAAGCTTGCCGTTCTCAGTGCCTGATTTACCGGCCGATTGCCGTAGGCAATGCCATATTGACCCAAAGTGGATTGACATCTCGGGTCCGAGGAGAAAGCTGACCTCATCGTGTTTCTTTGAACGTGTTCATCTTGGATATGGCGCTTGTTGATATTCGAGAGTAAACAAAAACAGACCCCGTGCCGTGGCCCATGATCATCATCTGAGGGGTAGTTTAACCGCTAACGCGCGAAGCGAGCCTGAAGAGAGAAACGGGAATGAGGGGTTCATGGTTGTGACACTGACAAAGAGAGAGAAAGAGAAGAATGCTCCCTCAGTCCATTCAGCTCCAGCTTCAGAGCGAAAAATGGGAGAAAGAAGCAAGGGTGCTCTCCTGTTAGTGCGGTGTGAGTGGATACAGTTCCCAGCCCTATAAAGGCACTGTTTCCCTTCTGGGCAACGGGTCGACAGGGGCTCTGGCGATCCGCTTCAGACGCTCCCAGACTCCGTCTTACACTTCAGAGACACTTCACCACAATCCTCCACCCACTCACTCGTTCCCGATATTCTGATTTCGAGACTCGGGTTGACAAGATGAACTGAGAATGGTATCATGAATGGAGAAAACTAGGATTCGATCTACCCGCCAACGCCAACTTACTAGCTAGGTGGCTTACGAACGGTGTAAGAATGCCTACTACCAGTAGATACTCCGCCCACTCAACTACCATGCCGAGATGAATCAGACCGAGCCGCGACCTCCCATCATCCCGATTCCTCATTGATCATTGTTACTCACGCCCGCGCCCATACCCACGCCCGGCCATCAGCATCGTCATCATCATCATCATCATCATTCTCAGCAACCAAATCCCGTATCCGAACCATGCGCCTCAGATACACAGATCGGATTTGTTCATCTGTGCCTGTGGGCCTCAGGACTTAAAGGCAGGCAGGCTGCTGAGCCGCACAACTGGTACAACAAGCTTGGGGTAGCTCCCTGAGAGTAGGTAGACGAGGCTCGATGCTCAAGTCTGGAGTTGCCCAGCCGCATACCGAACGCTCTCTTTACACTGGAACTACTATGTAGGATGGGGCTGACTAACGATATCTTCCCATCCACCATCCCCCACACTTCCTGTCCTGTTCTCGTGATAAGGCTCTGAGCAGTAAAGAGCCAAGCACCAGCAAAGCGTAACGGACACCCTTTTGGGGTCCTGAGAGTACCCGATCCTGGCCATGAATCCCGGCAGTTTAAAAAATATTCGCTCACAACCCAGAATTGCCAGACCAGAGCCGCCTTATCCTTTCTCGTGAGACATGAGCTGTCACTTTTGGAGGCAGTTGGGATGGGGACGGCATTGCGAATTGCACCCAAAGGATTGAGTGGGTAGGTATCTATCTGGGTTTGGGTTCTTGGTTTCAAAACCTGAACTCGAATTGAAACAAACCTCTTGAGAATGGAGTAGGCGTTTCTGAAATATCTCGCTTTCTTAAAGCATCGCGAGTGTGCAGGTAGGGAAAGTCGCTCCTATCTCAAGCACCAGTTTCAGCCCTTTCTTTCTGCAGTTTCGAGATCCTTTCATCACAAGCATAAAAAGCCGCCTCCCCGCTCCCGTCACGGCACGTTCACGTTTGAGCCCTGTCCATCCATCGGATAGAGTCCACATTGGCCAGTTCGATCCTCTGCGGGCACATATGAAGCACGTCGAGCAAACATATGAAGCGGGCGTCACGAACTTTACTCTGACCGAATAATAACACAACTCATAGCCGCAAACCTCAACTCCCGCTCAGCCAGTGGCAACAAAGTGCTCTTTCGGCTGCAGCCCCGTTCCTATCTTTCTCCAACGTGTATGGATGGGTATTGATCCCGGTGTCTCTGGGCGGGAAGCATGGTAACTCTACCGTCAACCGTACAACCACATGCCATGCCATGGGCGGGCACATATGCAGTATATCATATTTGAACTACGAGAGGATTACAACGACGGCCGATTAGTCGATGATGATAATGGGAGTTGATGATTGACAGGTTGGATTTGACAGGTAGATACCACTGCAATAACAATACCAATACCGGCGACCAGTCAAAGTAGTGGGATATCTCCGTGACTGCCAATGATTTGACGATGGCTTCGGGCATCAATAACGTTCGACCAATGGTGATGCTGACGGAAAGTAAAGGTAGGCTCGAAGTAGGATATGACGCCCATTCGTTACTTCAAATGGTTCGACAAATGCTTGCGATAGTTGAGGTCGAGAGTACCTAAACCGTTCAATGTTAATGAAGGTTCGTGTTCATTGTTGGAGATGGAAGCTTTGGATGTTCGGGACGGGAGTTGAACAAATCGGACTTACCTACCGAGTAAGAAAACACCATCGCCATCGTCACTACCGTTACTGTCATCATCATCACCAGGATCACCAGCACTGTCATCATCCTTGGCCTGTCAGTTTTGTTAATTCGTTCAGTCTGTCACTTTTCCATCCCGCACCCGTCAGCACCAGCAAGCAGCAAGCAGCATCACCTCAGTTCCAGCTTCCTCAAGTAGGCCCGGATGGCCTACATACAGTTCGCTTAACTCATATCTTCCGTCTTCGTACCGTCTTCCATGTACGTACGCAGTACACTACTTCCATCTAAGGAAGAATATCGAGGCCGCCCACATGCGAACCAGATCCCGTTACCACAGCTTAACCAAGCTTTGCATATCTTGGGGACCGAGCGAGCGACGACGATTCGTCGAGCAATGAGAAGTGGGCAATGAGCAACGAGCACTTGCACTACCTCTTTTCGCTGCCGTGTCCGTGTTTGGATTTAGGTTGTCTGGCTTGTATCGATGAGTGGCTTATTGGGATACCGCAGTTGGAAAGGATACAGTATCGAATATGTGACTCCTTCTGGAAGGGGATAACCGAGATACGTAAGATACCTGAGAGTGGTAGAAGAGGGTAGTAGAGGGTAGTAACAGCGGCAACGATAGTGTTGTAAGTGGATTGGAATTGTCCGATGAGCGCATCATCTGCCTCTCTCTGCCTTTCAGTTGTTGCTCGCTTGTTATTTGGAGAGTTTATGGTTCCAAGATCTCGACTTGACTGCTTGGGCAACATTCGGGAAGTGGGAGTGGGTAAACTGGGTGTAGCATTAGGCATCCTGGGCATCGTTCTGTGCGTGCCTGAACCGGACTGGACTTCGATTTCGAGCATATCTCGCTGAAAGACATCAGAAAGAAGAGGTAGGTAAATATGATAAACCTATCTGGTAGAGGCAATCGACTCACGCATACCAAGCTTTCCAATACACCACTGGTAATATTATACAAGAAAGAAGTGATGCAACACACCAAGAAACCCAGACAAAGGACGCAACAAAGCCGCCACTGATATTCGCAAGAGTCATGAAGAGTGAAGATGTTGTCTGTATGTAATGCAAAGTGTGTATGTCCCAAAACCAAAAAAAAAAGCGAACACGCTCTGCGTATCCGTTTAACATGAAGACGGTTATTAGTTTCTCTATTAACCGCCGCGCCGCCAAGTTCCGCACCTTATTCCATTTCCTTGAACGCCAATGATGATGATGCCATCCTCCGCTCTCTTTGTTCTCTGCTATCTTTCACTAGATAGGTATCCTCGGCTCCTTCCTATGCCGTTGTCTTACAAGCCGTAAGACTGCCTCTGTTCAATCGTCGTCGTCGTTCTTCTTGGACTTCTCCTTCTCGGACTTATCGTCCTCGATGATACGGCTCGTGTTGGCCTTCTCACGGTCGAGGTTGGGGAAGATCAGGTCAAAGACATCAGAGTACCAGCACACGGGCCGGCCCTCAATACCTTCCTTGACGTTCTGGAGAGCAAGGATGTTAGCAGATGCTTGAGAGAATGTTAGGATTCGTTTGGAAAAGTGTTTCTCACCTCAGGAAGCTCAAGCCAGTCAGACATGTTGTCCTCGGGGAACACGACCATCTTGCAGCCAGCTCTCCTAGCAGCCACAGTCTTCTCCCTCAATCCACCGATGCGGAGCACCTTGCCAGTGAGAGTAAGCTCACCAGTCATAGCGATCTGGGGGTTAATAGGAGTGTCGAGCGCAAGCGACAACAGAGAAGTCGTCATGGTGATACCGGCCGAAGGACCATCCTTTTGTACAGCGCCCTCAGGGACGTGCACGTGAATCTTGGCCTTGTCGAAGAAGCGGTTCTTGGGGAAGTCCTTGGCCATGACTGCCTTGGCGTACGAGTAGGCGATGGCGGAAGACTCCTTCATGACCGTCTTAAGGTTGCCGGTAATCTCGAGAGATGGTGAGCTCTTGGGGGTGAGCGCGCTCTGGAGGATAGACTCGACATACATAGCAGCGCCACCCATGGAGGTCCAAGCCAGACCCATGGTAACACCAGGAGGTGTCACATCATAGAGCCTGTCAGAAGTGAAGATCGGGGGTCCAACGTAGTCCTTGAGGTTGTCCTTGTTAATAACGACATGGACGTCCTCGGGAATCTTCATGGCGACCCGAGGCTTCTCCGTGGTCTCCTTCTCAGAAGCTTCGGTGGCGGCCTTCGGGCTGCTGGTCTCGTCGGACTCGGCCTCCTCGCTCTTCTTCTTCTCCGTCTCCTTCTGGGCAGCCTTACCCTCCTCGGTAAGAGCTTCAGACTCGGGAAGGGCCTGCTCGCCAAGGTCCTGAACGATCTTCAAGGCCGACTTGCGGTAAACCTGCTCGATCTTCTTCTTGAGGTTGCGGACACCTGACTCACGGCAGTAGGACTTGTTGAGCTCCTCAATCGCGTCCTTTGTTAGCTGCACGTCAACGCCCTTGAGACCAGCCATCTCCTGCGCCTGAGGAGCAAGATACTTCTCGGCAATGGCCATCTTCTCGTCGGCGACGTATCCGGAAAGTCTGATGACCTCCATACGGTCGAGAAGGGGTCGGGGGATGGTGTCAGTTCAGGTTAGCCGTGCAAGTACGAAAAGCACCTTGGACAAATCAACAGGGACGTCCAGGTAGTGATCCAAGAAAGAGCCGTTCTGCTCGGGATCCAAAAGCTCGAGGAGTGCAGAAGAAGGATCACCCTGATAGCCACGACCAATCTTGTCGATTTCGTCGATCAAGATCAAGGGGTTCTCAGTCTTGCACTTCTTGAGGGCCTGGATGACACGGCCGGGAAGGGCACCAACGTATGTCCGGCGGTGACCCTTGATTTCGGCAACATCGGTAAGACCGCCAACACTGAAGCGATAGTACTGGCGACCAAGCGCGCGAGCAATAGACTTGCCAATGGAAGTCTTACCGACACCCGGAGGACCGACAAAGCAGAGAATCTTGCCCTCGACGGTGCCGCGGAGCTTGCCGACGGCAATGAACTCGAGAATACGATCCTTGACATCCTTGAGACCGTAGTGATCCTCATCCAGAACCTTCATAGCGTTCAAGATGTCGAAGTTCTCGGCACTGCTCTGGCCCCAAGGAATGTTGGTGAGCCAGTCCAAGTAGTTACGCGTAACATTGAACTCGGAAGCGGCAGGCTCAAGGTGGGCAAGCTTGTTCAGCTCGTCATCGAACACCTTGCGCACGGCCTCAGGCATAGCCAGCTTGTCAGCGAGCTCTTTGAACTTTTCCACGAGCTTGTCCTTGCCGTCAGACTCGATACCAAGCTCACGTCTGATACCCTTCATCTGCTCCATGAGCCAGTATTCACGCTGACGCTTGGTGATCTTCTGCTCTACATCCTTGGTAATCTTGGACTGAAGCTGAGCGTTAACGTGCTCCTTCTTCAGGACAAGAAGAGCCTTGTGCATCCTTTCCTCTACGTTCAAGCTGGACAAAACCTCCTGAAGCTCAGCAGGCTCGCCGGCGCTAACAGCAGCGGCAAAATCAGCAAGCTTGGCTGGCTCAGCCATGACATTGCCGGTCGATTGACTCATGCTAAAGGTGGAAATCTGATCCCGGAAGAGACTGTTCATGCTGGCGACCTCCTTGAACACGTTTACAATCTCGTTCGTAACGGCTTTGATAACTTGGCTCTTGGGGTCGTAGGGTTCCTCCGTCAGATTCTCTACATTAACAAGACTGACAGGATACTTCTTGAGGAACGATGTCGGCTCGTAGGGCTTCTGGGTTGATTCGGGCCTGGGTGTCACGGCGCTTTCTTCAAAGCTCGCCACCACGTCGCCCTTTTGCTCGGACTCGTCGGTCACCTTGGGAATCGGCTCGGGTACTGGCTCAGGGGCAGGACCCTCCTTCGCACCGTCGAGTGAAGCAGCCTCTGGCGAGCCAGGAGGAATAAGCTCCGACAGCTTGATTCTCCGGTGGGGGTAAAGGATCGCGGTGAGACTAGCACCCTCGCCGTTCTGGTTGTTCATGGGGAAAGCGCTGGTAATCTGAGCAAAGACACCGACGTCATAGACATCGTCGCGGTTCCGGATAATATCGTCGTCGGCGTTCTCGTCCTTGAACAAGAAAGCTCCCACGTATGGCTGTCCGCGCTTGATCATTTCTGTAATAGCAGCAGCCACATTGGGATCTTTGATGGTAATGGCCTTGTAGAACCCGGGGAAGAGCGGTCGCTTCGCTATAGGGATCGCCATGACCTGGGGGTAGATCTCTGGTACAACGGGCTTCGCCAATGCCTTATCACCAGGCTTGCGGCCTCGCTTGCCACCGTCTCCGGAACCACCGTCTGCGCCCGAGCCCGAGCCGGCAGAGGAACCGCCAGCAGCGCTAGCCTTTCCATCTTCTGGCGCCGCCGGGGCATCCGAGGTCGAGGACTTGGACTTGGCCCGTTTTGGTTCGGCCTCCTTTGACTCGGCCTCGGTGTGCTCAACGTTTGCTTTGCGTTCCTCCTCTGTTAGCGGCTCAATCGAGTTGTCGAAAAAGCCCTTGTCGTTCTTCTTCCCCAAAGCAGTGTAGGTCGAGAAACTCGAGAGGTTCGTCGGCCTTTCGTGTCGGGGCCGGGTCACGACATGTTGCCCAGCCGCAGCGAGAGAGCGTATCGAGGAAGTGGTCAAGCTGGAAGACCTAATCGAATGTGCGAGCGAGGTCCTCGACGCGAGGATGCGCGGGATGCGCTGTCGGGACAGCATCTTGAACAGAGGCAACGTCGAGAGAGGGCGGGTAAAAGGGTATCGTAGTGGTCGAGCTTTGTGAGGAAGAGTGTCGTCTTATTTGGGAGCGCGGGCCCTGAATCGGACCAAAGGCGACGGTGGATGGGAGTGCCGTCGGAGAGGGGGGATGAATGTGGTGAGAGTGGGATGGCGGGTGGGAGAGGTCGCGGCGCGGGGAGATGGAGATGCGGCGATGCGGCGGGATTTGGGAGAAAAAGTTTACAGTTGCAAAATAGTATACAGTCAAAGATAAACAGATGAAGAGAGACCTTTTGCCGCTGAGTGGTTCTATTCAGTATGAGTAGCGAGGTAGGACGACGACTCCCAGCAACCCAAGGCCCATGACTCTCTGTGTCTGGCACAATGTATGATTAATCAACTCGACGGGAAGGCGAACACCTCAGCGAAGCTCCCTCAGTTTTCGGCCGGCGGTAGAAGATGGAGGAATTACTATCTTCTAGGTACCGTCTCGGTTGCGTCACGATACAAAAGATACGTACCTGCCCGCTAACAGCTCCCCGCCGCCCTCCACGCCGGCCAACTTCAAGAGCTTCAATTCCATCACTGTTGGTCCCATTAGCACCTGGATGCCAAGCCGCTTGACTAGTTACGGTATAGATCTTCAACTCATAACGGTGAAGTCGCACCTGTGACACCCGCTCCGCCGCCTGGAACTGCCCGCTGCCGGAGAGGTTACGGCGAGCATAGCAGCACCGACCCGGAGCGGGGCATCGGCAGGCACGTTCGCTAACAGACAGCTATCCGCAGCTCGCATATCAGGAAGCTCGACTCGAACCTGAAGGCATGAATTGACTGCATTTTAAGTCCAAGCCATCGAATTATTCTCCGTTTTTCACAACACTTTAGTTCACTTCCTAAACATCAGCTTTATAAAATCAACAAATTGGACAACATCCTCTGGACTGGAAATAAAGTCATTGGAGCACCCACTTCAACATCCCTTCACATATATCTCAACGACAACTTCACATGGCGCCACCACCGTCAGACGACATCACCTCCGGAGTCTCCAAGATGTCACTCAAAAACACCCCCAAAGCCAAGGCGAAGAAGGTAGAGCCTGTTGCCGACAGTTGGGAAGACGAAGATGTCAGTTCGGAGTCCGAGCCTGAAGTCAAGACTGAACAAAAGTCTGAGCGTGGGCGTGAATTTGGTGCGGAACCGGAATCGTGGGAGGACGACAACAACAACAGTGACGATGAAGAGAGAGCTCCCTCTCCGCCACCTTCACGCAGCAGAAAGCCAGAACCATCAAATAGCACTTCCGTACCACCATTCCTCGACTTCACTGGACCAGGCGGCGCCAGCAGCACCGCGTCATCAGAGTACAAGAGGCCCGAAAAGACGGACGCAGTAGCCCGTCGGCTGATTGCCGGTGCTCTTGGATTGAAAGCACCCAAGCTGACCGAGGAGCAAAAGGCCTATGACCGGGCCTTGCGCGAGAAGGAGCGCAAGAGGAAGGAGGAGGAGAGAGAACGGAAGAAGAAGGCGGAGGAAGAGGCCTTGAAGGCCAAGGCTGCTATTTGGGAAGACTAAGATCATCCCGCTCAACTTAGCGAATGTCCAGCCTCAAGACCCGCCGACTATATCAGCCTGGGCATGGAACTACATTTTACACAGCATATCTTTCACATCCCCAAAGGCGTCATCAACATCAAGCGGAATCATCTTTTCTATCTATAATTTCCGACCCTTCACCTTGCTCAGCATCGCTCGACGCAGCCGGCAAGCCTTCCACTTTCTTCAAACGGAAAGATGTTTCCCCTTATGCGTCAACACCAACTGCTCCCCACCATCGGGAGAATGTCGCTTCGCAACAACCAACCCCTGCAGCCCTTCTTGTTCGGCGCGGTGATTCCACAGCAGCTGTTCAACTTTCCCTTCCCTAGAACACCCGATGAACACCAAAGGCCACCTGCTCCTCACCAGCGCGTCTCGGGTCCCTTTGTGGCTATCTTCGAAGCCACCAAAACGCCAAATACTTCGGACCCTCTCCATCCAACTGGCGCTCCCACGAAAGCGCCCTCCAACTCCCGGATCAGATGAGGACGGGTGACTTGGATGGCTTTGCACTGCACGATGACTCGAAGTGGACGTTCGGCTGTTGGTACGGACCAGGTGCCCAGGAGATCGATGCCGAAATCGTGTTGTCCGCCTACCCGGTTGAGAGAGAAGCCATATGCTGCTAAGAGGGAAGATACGGTGTATTCGTAGTGTGTTCCGACGAAAATGGTGGTTTCCTGACCCAGACCGGTGCGCTTGGCATACTGGAGGAATGAAGCGAGGTCGTGGTGGTTGGAGGATTTAGATAGTGGAATGTTGGGATTGGCATGCCCTTTTGTATCTGAGGTGTTGGTAAGGCCCAACGAAGGGACAGCGGAGGATTCAGTGGATGTATCTGTGGAGTTTGGCGCTTGGTCGGCGGAGGAGAAGCGTCGGAGCGGTTGAGAACCCGGCATGCAATATAGTCGGCGCGCTCCGAGTGTAAGCCGGGAAAGTCGTGAAGCCATGGGCCTCATGGTGATATGCTGAGCCTAAGCGCTCTGAGATTTGATATGCAATGTTTTTTCCTGCTGTAGATCCTCCTTATAACCAATCGACAGGTTGAATGGTACTTCAGGCCGGTTGTATTATTCTCATGTCGGTTCGACAAAGAGAAAGTGTTGTTTTTGTGTCTATTGAACTAGCCTCAAGAAATGCCATGTTGAAATCAAATGCGATAAAGTCGACGATGGGTGCATGGTGGATCGGCCCAGCCAAAGTTCTCTCTCATTGGATGAGGCTTCTATTCCAAATGGGTTGCATTGTGTCGATAGTGGATCCATCCCGTCTGGATCCTGCATGCACATGATGCACATCCCCCGCGGTCGTCGCGGTCGGCGCGGTTCAAGCATTCAGTACCTGACAGTGACAGCTCCCTTCTTTCGACCCGTCTTCACAAAGGCGACCCCGATCGCGTTGCGACATTCACACACCACCATTGCGATAATCTTCTGCCCATCTGCCCAAACCAACCCGTGGACCTGGAAGTCTGTTCACAGCTTCGAATCTCCCCTGCGTTCGTCGCATACTTCCAGACACCAATACCATCAAAATGAGCGACCGTCTCTCGCAACTCCAAGAGGCTGTCGACCAGGTCCGTCTTCCTCCGGGCCCCTCTCCAAGCCTCCGGCGCGTTCCCTTCCTTCTGCGCCTGGCTACCCCTCAACCTCTCTTCCCACATCCAAGAAAAACACCTGCTAACGTCCACCCAGCTAATGGAGCAATTCATAGCCACCTACTTCTACATCGACCGACACCACGACCTCAAAACTTTCGGTACAAAAGACACCATCGCGCCCTCCAAAGCCGACCAGCCGCCCGAAGTCGACACCCTTCCTCCGGACGTGTTCCAAGCGGGGCAGCTTGAGCTCGCGCGAGACCTGATTACTAGAGAGCAGCAGATCGAGTATTTGATATCCAGCCTGCCCGGACTAGATAATAGCGAGCACGACCAGATGCAGAGCATCAGGGAGCTGGAGGAGGAGCTGAGGGTTGCGGAGAAGCAGAGGCAGGAGGCGGTGAAGGAGAAGGATGAGGTTTTGGTCAAGTTGGATCAGACTTTGAGGAGTATTAGGCGGTATTGAGTGGGGGGACAAAAAGAGGGGATGGAATTGGTGATTTGGAACATGCATAGGTGCAGGTACGGTTCAGGCAAGGGGTTTTGATATTGGGATTCAGCGACAAGCGAATATGCTCTTGATATAGAAGCATTGGGGACTACGGCGTTTGGGTGAACTATTGAAAAGGAAAGAATACTTGGGTTTTCGCATTACATAGACGCGTGCTTCAAAGCAAGGGACGAAAAGAGTCTGAAGAGAAACAAAAGTAATGGTTTCAGCCCTCTCTATGCAAAAACAAGTCCAGCCTCTATATGATCTATAAGTGATGAGCCCGCATACCACTTCCCACCACACTACCAACTCCTCATTCCTGATCCTTCTTGAAGACCTCTGGGAATATCGTCCTCAGCTCCTCCAGCGTAGCAATCTGGTACTTGGACGCCGGCGTCTTTGGTGGCGTCACGCCCTCTTCCACCAAGTGCGCCGTCTTCCACCCCAGCTCCTGCGCCTTCTTGCAATTCAGGTAGGAATCATCTATCCATGATGTTAGCTTGACCCTCTCATCACCAGCACTGCAGAATCCGTCTCAAGGTAAAGTCTGTACTCACCAACAAAATAACAATCTCCCCACCTCCCCTCCGGCACCCCCGCCTGCCCCATCGCCTTCCTAAACATCTCCTCGCTGGGCTTACAAACCAGCGGCGTCTGGGCGTAATCGCAGAACGTGATGCCCTCAAAGAAATCCTCAATCTCCAGCAGCTTCACCACCCGGCGGGCGTGGTTGATGTACGCGTTCGTAAACAGCCACAGCTTGACCTTGGACCTGTCGATGTCCTGCAGCAGCTTCTTGAGGGAGGCGCTGGGCTTGATGATGTTGTCCAGCGGCAGCGCGTCGTCCACCTTGGCGTTGTACTCGAGCGGGTCGATCTCGTGGTGCCGAACAAGCCCCTCGATGGCCAGGCCGTAGTTTTGGTAGTATTCCTTGTGCAAACGCACGGCTTCGTCCCAGGGGAGGTTCAGGTGCTTGGCGAAGTATTGGTCGATTAGGTCGGCCATTAGGTCGTGGACTTTGGCGCCTGTTTTTTGATGGGGGATGTGAGTTTTTGTCGTTTAGGAAAGGTGTTGATCTTATCTCATCTGATTCTGGTTTCATAAAGGTATGACGGCTTCACTCACTCTTTGGGTAGAGGCAGTTGTCAATGTCACTGTGGACTGGTTAGTCGATATTCAGCTCTCACTTACAGACTCTTCAGGTCGCTTTATCACTTACAAGAAGAAGACAACGCGGTTATCTGGTTGCTGGCCATTGCCATTGCTGTTCGTTTCTTGGGCCGCCATGGTTTCTGTGGTTCGGGGCTCCCGTCTTTTCAACTTGAACTTTAACTGGGTTGACTGTTATTGAAGAGCTGTTTGCTCTCTTCAGATATTGCTGACCGGTGATTCAGGTGTAGATGTTGCGATGTTGGGGTTTGTGTTTAGTGTATATGACTGGTTGGTGAAGTGAAAGTGCCAACTCAACACGGTTGTGACTTGTGTAAGTGCGTGCCTGTCAAAAAGATGCCGTGTGATTGTGTCCTTGAATTTAAGAGCGATGATTATTGCTCGGTCGGTGAGCTACAGATAGGATTGATCCTTCTTCCTTTCCGAGGAACTTCATCCACCTTCCTTCTCCTTTATATACTTGATCCTATGACATCAAGTACGACTTTCCATCCGGTTCCTCCGTATCCTCCCAGGACTCGTCAGACACCCATTCAGTTGACTCAGGCCGAATGTCATTGTTCATCCCGCCCTATGCTCCTTCTTTCCGACAGCCGGTGTCAGATGGTAGCTGCCAAGGACCACCAAGGTTCACTCAGGATGGTCCGTGCGCCCTCGTCGCTAGCGGCCCCTGGGGGCTTGGCGACTTGGTCCAGCGCCGATCAAAGTGATGGGACGCCAAATTGTGCTCGGAGCTCCTTGTCTGCTTTCAAACTCCCATTTTGTCCATTTCCACTTCACCAACACTTCACTTTGCTCTTCTACGTCGTCCAACTCTGCACAACCATTTTTCTGGTGGTCCGCAGACGAGAGTCGCATTGTATTGTTCACCACCGCTGCTAATCAACACGGTATAGGGACTGGAATAGCGCTTCGATTGGTTCTTCTTTTCTTCATCTTTTTCTCTTTCGACTGTACCATCTATATAAAACATCTGCACCAAGATCGGTTGGCAGCTGCGTTTTCCATAACATATCGGTGGCCGCCGGTCAATTGCTCGGTGTACTGAGCTGGGCTTTACTTTCCATGACGAAGGGAAAACAACAGATGGCGGGAGGACCGGCAATGGCTGCGATACCCGCAAGAGGAGGACCGCTTGGAGGGACAGTGGGAGCATCTGCTTCCGCGAACGCATCACTGATGGCGACGCTCAGCCCCGAAGAGCGTCATGAACTCGAGCAGTACGAAAAGATCCTGCGCTTCCGCGATGAGGTGGTCAGCGGTACACATCCGCGCATTAAACCAACACACGTTGGAAAACCGACCAACGGCACTGGCCCTGTCCCGCCAGCCAATGCCTCCGCCGCTTCAGCAGGCCAGGCGCCTGGAGGAGCAAAGCCAGCTGTGAATGGGAACCGCTCAATGACTGATAACTTCCAGGCTTACCAGGCAAACCTCAAGAAGCCGGCGGTGAATCCGGGGGGGAATGTGCCTGGCTCGGGGACTTTGTCGAACACTTCTAGCGAGCAGTCCAAGCCCAAAGTCGAAATCAACCCGATTCTGTTAGAGAAGTCGGATGATTTGATCAAAGCCGAGATTCAGCTGCAGAGACAGCGGATTGAACGTTCTCTCCGCGAGGACATCGAACAGCGGCGGGTGTCCCAGAAAGGCGCCCTGCAACCGTCCGAGCAACCTGCTGACTTCGATATTGCCGATGTGTTGGCGAAAGCATTGATTCTGGTTCAAGCAAATGCTGCTCAAACTACTGATGACACTGTTGCTAACGCTTCAGCTTCGGGCGACTCATTCGACGACAACACCTTCTACTCGAGCCAACATGGCACGCCCGACTCTCACTACCAGTTGGCTCGCGTTCCTAACGAGTCCGAAGACGAGCAGATGCGCGATGGATCACCGTACGAACCCGAGCTAGACCTCGAGCCCGTTGCTGCCCCAACCGACCGACCCAAGCCTCCTCTCCCGACTGCGCCGGCAGCAGCTACAAACCTCTCGGGCGCAAATGCTCAACTGCAGCAAGTACACAGCGCGTCTAGCAGTGCCAGCAGTGTTCGTCAACCGTTCAATGTAAACGTACCGGGCGCGTCGAGCGCAGCTACAAGTGTCAGCCGGGCTGCTCGCCAATTCCCTCCGTCCGAAGCTGTCAGTTCTCGTGATAGTGGCCCGGCAAGTCGCTCCGAAGAGTCGACTCATACAGGAAAGGAACGGGGTGGTGGCTCGCGAGACTTGACCAGAGTTAACGAGCAGTTGTTGAGACAGGCGTTAGGACCTGAAGGGGGGTCCCCGGTTGTTCGTGCTCACAATCTTTCCCCTTTCGCACCCCAGCCATCTCGTGTCTCCCCCTTGCCTTCTGCTGCTCTTGAACAGCCGATTTCTCTATCAGAGACTGGCGGTCGTCGGGCCACTCCGCCTCCGGCTCAGGGGGTTGCTGCTCTTAGGAAGCAGCCCTCAGCTGTCTCTAGCCCGGAAAGCTCACCCCACGGAGGAGAAAGGCCTGGGGAGAGGAAGAACAAGAAGAAAAAGAAGAGAAAGGCTGATCGACTTGCGGAGGCCGCTGCATCGCCATACATTAAGCCTGAGCCCCGATCACCGTCTCCCATGTCAGCGCCCCAGTACACGCGTCCTGCTAAGCGTCAGAAACAGGGGCAGCAACAACAAGCGCCCGACTATGATGATGCAAGGTATGGACAGCCAGGTTCCGTAGAGGGTGCCTACCAAGAGCGCCTGCAGCCAAGAGTGCAGAGGGAGGAGCGGGTTGTGGGATATGAGCGGGAGATCGACCCTCGTCCTCGTCTCGAGGGCGAGCCTCTGCTCGCTACCCCCAGGTATGAAAGGGTCTACTACGATGATCCCAGAGCCCCACTCAGCGGTGGTCGGTTGCCCGGGTCGCCAGGCATGCATGCTTCCCCTTACGGTCCCCGTGAGGTGCGCGTTCCTCCGAGGAACGTGATCTACGATGTCCCTCCGCCAGATGATGGTTACTATCGCGATGTTCGTGCCGCTTCAAGGATGAGCATGCGCCCAACACCCTATCGTGAGCGCTCTTCACGGTCACCAGTTGCGTATGAGCGTGTTGCACAGCCAATGGCTCCTCCTCCCAGGGTGCCCGCGACTCGCATCGTCGTTGATGCTTTCGGTCGCGAGTACATCGAGCCGCCTCGGCCCCAAAGTGTGCTTGCGGAAAGACCTGAGATCGTGTATGCCCGTCCGCCACCGCCACGCGCTGTCACCCGGAGACCTGAAGGCTACGATGACGAGGTAATGGTTTACGAATCGACCTCCCCTGCCGGCTACGCTCCTCAGCGACGTGTGATTGCTCAGCCAGAGTATGTTACCCCTGAACATAGAGTGTACAGGGAGCGTGCTTATTCCACTCACCCCATGGGCCCGCCGTCTGGCGACTATGTGCCGTCCAGACTCAGGGTCGAGGGCCGACCTGTTGTCGAGATGCCCCAGGAGTACATCGCAAGACCGGGCAGCGTTCGTCCCCCGATGGACACACGCTACGAGAGTGTCGCGGCTTACGACCTGAGAACGGTTGACGAACGTCCCCGCGAGTACTATGGCGGCAGAGCAGCTAGCGTCAGGCCAGTGGCAGAGGCACAAGTCCGCTACGAGCAGGCTCCTCCTCCTAGCTATGAAAGACGCATGGCAGGGGAGCCGAGCCTCAGGGAATATGCTACGATTCGCTCAGCAAGCGTCAGGCCTCCTATGGATGCGCCCAGATATGAGATTAGAGGTGACTACGGAGCAAGGATGGGAAGCGTGCAGCCGGAGATGGCCGGCCGCGATTATCAGGGTCGTCAGGAAATAAGGAGGGAGGTTATGCAGCCGCCTCCGCCACCGATGGGAGGGCGCGCTTATAGTGTTTTCCCGCCTGAGCAGCAGCCTCCTCAACAGGTGATGCGTGGAGATGGCGGTGCGTATGGGGATGAGAGGTATTACGCGCAGCGGCCGCCTGTTCAGCAGCAGGAGGATGATGAGGTTGTTTACTTGGACCGGCCTCCCATGCGGGATGCCTATCGGCAATGAGGTTAGGGTATCATGAGGAGGATGAACCACAAGAAAGCACTTGAAGGGAGTAGTTCAGTTTTCGGGGTTTTGGAAACATGTGATAGACAAGATGCTCTATCTTTACGGTACAGATGTGCATTTTCATCACCATCATTACTCACGGAGGAGAGCGAGTGTAGAGCATTGACTGGCAGGATAGGTTGTTTGAGCAGAGGTGTACATATATATTCAGCGGCTGCGGAAACATGTTGCATCACCAGTGTTTGAAAAGGTCAGCGTGGCAGTCTAGGTACAGATTGCGGGGCTGGAGTATGAGTATATAGGTATCACGAAGTTGAATCAAGCGAAAGAAGCCCGACAAAGTGTCGGAAAAAGGAAAAGGACATCAAATTATCGTGAACATTCCTCAGAGGTAAGAAATGCCACATTGATACAAGCCTCCATCTTTCTTTATGCTCTCGGCAATGCCCGTTCCGTTGTCCGTCCCGTTCGGAAGTGCGGATCTGAGCTTGGTCAACAACAACGTCATCACTCACCTCGAAGACTCCACAGTCAACTACATCCCATGCCATCCGGTTCTTACGGGTACCTATACAATGGCGTACGACTGGCATAGGTACACTATATGGACCTTGATCGATGGAGCCTGTAAGCCTCATTTCTACCGAGCTGGCAGGAGAGGTATCAGGCAAGCTGAACAAGCTCAGTGAAAATGTACCGAGTGTCTGCTGTAGACTTAGGAGTGCAGTGTAGGTAGGGTCTGTAATGTAGCTACGGACTGCCCCTGCTTTAAGGACAGGTTTGGGTTATTTTGGGGGTATCTACCTACTGTTACTTGCAAGTTGCACGTATGCATGCATGTTTGAAGTGGTAGTTCAGTCCTGGCACTCCTGGTACTGTAGTGAAGCGGCTGTGAAGATCTTGGTAGGTATGCTGTATGGTAGACAGCAAATCTGTAAATTCATCAGGGACAGGGACGAATGGGACGACGGCTGGACAGTTTCGGTGATCTTCCGTCGTAGGTTTGTTTGAGGTGTAAGTCAGATACTTGTAGTGCAAGGCTGGCAGCTTAGGGGGTTCCGACTTTCTAGTGTAGGTAGGAGACGAGCGAGAACTACGCCTTACCAGGTGTGTCTAGATAGTTCCATCTTGGTTGGAAATTGATAGGAGCCGGCAGTTCTACAGTTTGATGTCGTTCTTTGTTTAGCAGCTTTTCAGTTTTTCAGACATTCTTGAGCCGTAGGGGCCGCGAGATGGATGAGCTAGGTTATGAACCATACCTAACCATACCCCCTTTGATCTGTATGTACCCCTGTTTGCCGCTGCCGGCTTGGTTCGAGATTCGATGTTCTTGGCTATCAATCAAACAGAACAGCGAACTCGGGCGGCGAAGTTACAGGACAGACACCGGCATAACAATGCATGGGACATCTACTGTACATAGGTACTCGCATTGTGAAGCAGTATCCATTCCAGGCTTAGCAATAAAGCAAGGTCATGTAAATGTAGGTCTGTGCCTGTTAATTTTTGCCGACTTCGTCCTTGAATTCTTCAGGCTTGAAGTCAGGCAGTTTTACACACCCAGGCAAGGCAAGGCTACGTAGCCCAAAAGCTAAGTTACGCACACACACCACTGCAGCTTATACCGATGAAACCAGAAACGGTTGAGACGATCCATCCACTCTTTGGGGTAAGCTTGAGGGGGGAAATGATTTTGTGTGGCTGAGATGGAGATGACCACTGCAGGTCGTCGGCGGTTTGCAAGTTTGTTCGTTCAACGGCCGTGAGGGTTGTTGATATGAAGGGCATCTATGGATGAGGTTGGTCAGCAGTGGATAGGAAGTTCTCTTGGATAGGACCCCCGAGGTAAGTAAGACCCCAACGTCTCCTCGAATGTGGGTACGTGTTGTTATAAAGTGTGGTGGTGTGCAAGTGTTCAACTCCCGTTCGGCATCTGCCTACCAACCAGAGAAGAAAAGGCCAGTGTGAGAAAAAGTGAAGAGGGACCAGGTTGAAGTTTCAAGTGTGTGATATACAGCTAGTTTAGATAAAGACTATTTTAGCAAAGTAGTTGGGGGCTTGACTGGCCTGGACATGGAATGGAGCTGTTCATTCCGCTGGATGTCTTACTTCTTGATCAGAGTTTTATCCCAGCTTGGCCGAAGCTGGAAGATGTCTCTCCGGCTTCAAGATAGTATCGCGACTGCGTGTGGTCGACAAAAAAATCTTCATGCCCATGCCTGACTGACTGATCATTTTCTGGTGCTGACAGCGATACGACCATGGGATTGGAGACGGGTGATGTGTGAAAGCACACGCTCAAACGGCACTGCACCGCCCACTCAGGTGCTGTTGCCCACTTTTGCCCGCTGTTTGAGCCAGTCACGATGGAGCAGACCTTGGAAGCGCACAGACCAAACGACTCTCCCAAGGCTCAACATTCAAGTGAGCTGTCCAGGCGAGCCAGGCAATGGCTCGTGCGGCGGCCGGGGGATCCACCGCTGGGCGTTTCCCGGTGATCTCCACTCCCTCCACAACCTACCGTGAAATGGTCCGTGCTCCCGTCTGGTCGCTCAGCTTCCATCTCCCACGCTCCCCCCAGACTCTCTTGACTGTGTGCGTGCTGTGTGCTTGAACTGTCCACCTACCGACTGGCCATTGTGCCATTGAAGCAGCCAGGCCACTCTCGAGCCACTTTGAGCACCCCGACCACCGACTGGATTCCGTATCCTACAGCACTACCTTACCACCTCCAAGCAGTTCCTCCTCCTCCTCCGCGTCCGTCCTCCACCTTTTCCCCTCCCTCAACCCGAACACCACTGCTTCTGCATACATCAACCCAAGGAAAAGAGCATCCCACTTGCTTCTTTTCCGCTCTCTTTTCCTTTTCCCCATTGTCAAGTTCTTTGAGATACCCCCTTTTTTTCTCGTTTATTTCTGCGATTCCCGGCACGAGCCTTGCCGCCCTCTCCGAAGCGCCCCCCCCCCAGTCGTGTCCAGTATCATCATCACAAGCAGCAGCACCAGCAGCAGCACCAGCACCAGCAAGCAGCAGAGCAGAAGGAAGCAGCAGCAGCAGCAATAACACCAAACAACAACAACACAGCATACATTATACGCCTTTGCCTCCGTTGCGCTGCCCCTCGTTGTGGTCTCTCTTCCCAACCATCCCCCGCCATTATCCCGAACGCACCAGCACCACCACGGACATCCGACGAAAGAAGGCAGTGGGCAACAGGGCCAGGTACCTTTTACCTACATATAAAACACAACAAGATACCGGCACCGGCAACGACGCCCGCTTCGGCCTCTCTCTCTCTACAGTACAGCAAACGCAGTGGCCTCATTTTTGGGCATACTGCTGACTTGGCCTCCCTGCCGCCCTTGTCATCCAGCCTGCTTCCCAGACGTGCACCTCCAGTCGCTCGACCACGATGAATAAATTAGCAAACATGCGTCACTGGCCCGAGAGGATGAGCCCTAATTTTGGCATGTCCCGGTCGTCAATGGGCATGCCTCAAATAATGCACCAGCCCAAGATCGTTTCCCAGGGTCCTCCACCAATCTCGAATCCCCAGCCTCCCGATGCCATGATTCACTACACGTTTAACGTCCACTTCGCCTCCGATCTCGCCGGCCCCGATACCGAGGACATCCTCCACTCGACCACGGATGCCGTCCTTAGATGGACACATCCCGAGGATGCCCCCGATGACGTTCCCGTGTGGCAGCTCCCCGTGCATACCCAGAATGTCGAGAACCTACGCCGCCGTTGCGAGGACATTACCAACAACCCCATGCCTATCGAGGCTCACCTCAGCGCGACCACTCCCAAGAATGGCCGCAACCAGGTCGTCACCGTGACTCTGTCAGGCACCGCCGATTGTGTTTACAAGACTCGGGAAACCATCTTGAACGAAACGCCCTCTCTGATGGTGGGTTATCCACTTGTCCCATATGTCTCTTTGTGACCCATTTCGCTAAATTAATACTGTCCAACAGCGCTGCACCCACGTTGATGTTGACGGCCACTTGGTTGCCGATCTTACAGAGGGCCGCCTGAAACCGTCCGTAACCGCCTTTCTGGATGAGGTCTCCAAGTTCTGTGGTGTTGATATCTTTCTCCTGGGCCCCAAGCTCACTCCCCTCGAGGATGGACTGAATGGAGGCTTGTCTATGCGCAGAGACCAGCGTTGGAGGGTGGCCATCTACGGTGACCACATCTCTGCTGAGCACGCCAAGTCCCGTGTGCTCATAAAGATCGACCAGCTTGTAGGCACTTTCCAAGAACCGTCTCGTGATATTTGAATGCTTGCTAACACTATGACAGCTTGGGAGAATTGTTGACGCCGTTCAGATTGATCTAAGCGTGCAACCGCTGCTGTGTGGCCGAAACCGGAAGAACATCAAGCATATCGAGTCTGCCACCAACACTGCCATCTACTTCCCTCCGTGCTTCTCCCACGCCTATGGATACTGTCCCCCTGGTGCCCTTCGCCGCAACACTGACGAGGTTTTCATCACTGGCGAGACTCCCGAGGCCATTGCGCAGGCCAAGACGCGGATCCATCAAATCCTGACCACGATCAGACTCTTTGTCAAGGATGTCACGATCGCTATGCCCAAGATTGACAGCATTCTGCTAGGTCGGATGGACAAGGTGCGCAAGATCATGGAGATCAATAGTGTATTCATCATGCTCCCTCCGCTTGCCTCCAGACAAGGCACGATCCGTTTCCAGGGCCCTGAGAACCTTCATGTCGAGCGAGCCATCCGCGAGCTCATGTCCTTGGTAAGCTTCAGCTCCCTCTGTATTCATCTGTGGATGAGCGTCGAATTTAACCCCTATCCTAGGCTGGGCAATTTTACCATGCATCCTGGTGGATCAGCCAGCAGGATCCTCGCCTGCTTCCCAGCCCTCAGGAGATCCGGACCTTACTCAGCGATGTTTGCGCCAACTCCGATGCCGATATCGCTTTCGATAAGGTCGCCTTTACGCTTACCGGCTCTGATGAGGC